CAATGAGATATTTCTCTCCTTTTCAAAGTTCACACCTTTGCGAAAAATTTTTCCTCTCATGTACAAGGGGTGGAAACGTTTCATTCATATAGCCGCAAGGTCGTCCAACGATAATGTTACGATAGGCGGTCGCGTGCCGTCTGCCGTGATTCTCACCACCAAATCAATCAAAATCGCATTGCTCCGAAAAGGGGTACGGTCAGATCACACGTCACATTCGCACTTTATGAAATTTTCCAAAAGCACTTAACATTGATAGAGAGCCCATTGTTTTCGGCAGAAAGATGATCTTGTTCTTGAGTAATTGAAAGTTCGAATGAGAAGTTGTTGCATCGCAGTTACGACTCAAGAGTGATGATTTGGACTGCACTTCAGCAAACGAGTTTAGCGCTACCAGATATTGTTTTCATGAGCGTGAGATACGGTAACTGAGTATTAATTTCCTGTCAGTCAGTGAAACTAGTTGAATAACACAACTTCGTCGCTTAATTTCACTCTTCCTGCTTTCACAAAATTCCTTGCTTACAGAAGGGCGAACTGCCCAACCAGTGTTTTTTTTTTGGTACACCATTTTGTTCGATGCAATTCGTGTCCTCAAAGTGCCTGTAGATGTGACGTAATCGCAATGGTAGCCCGTACGTTAAGTATCAATTTCCAACCAAGCACCCGGATAAGAGGGCGCATCTCGACCTCGTTAGACGTCACGCTAGAAAACCGGTATATACACCTCAAATCACCTTCACGACGATTTGCATAAGGTGTTCTGAAATGCGACCATTCTGGTACCGTTAATCCTTCAGCGTAGAAAGCCACAGGTTTTGGGAAGTTTGCAAGGGAAATTTTGAAGGCTTTCATGAATGTTTGAGGAGATTCGAATGCCGGAGAATATATGAACCTAATTAGGGGCATGGCTGTACCCAAAGATTAAAGACTACCTCAAAAAGACAAACAACACACCAGAATCACTGAGAGGCAAAACTATGTTTCTATCGATCAAAACTCCTCATACTTAGTCCTTTTGACTGTTTACTGAACGAGGATTGGCAGTTATTGAAGCCAAAGCTGGTGAAAAGAACTAAAACTTGTATTCTCATATGCTAAGGTGATCTTCTGAAATCTCTATTATTTAGGACTCTTTGTTTAGGAAGTTGCCACTAATCCCTGCAATCAGGCTATGAGCCTCCTCTGATCAACAGGCTTGACAAGTCCACAAAATGTCATCTGAATTAGGCAATAATAAAGCTTCAGCTGCTCATAAATGACTGACACAGCCACCTATATTG